TGTATTAGTTGAGGCCCACAGGCAATCTATCTGACATTGTCTTTTTTAGTCAAGACTTCGATGGAAAGCTCTAAAGGTACCTGGTTGAGAAAAGCTCATAATTTCTCATTAAGTTAGGTAAAACTGATCATTTACTAACAATAGCCCTTTTCCAAAAACCTACTAAGAGCCATAACAATGTATTTATGAATTTCCCTTTGGTTTTTGGAGTGGACTATTTGTGTTTGTTAGTATCTCTTTTTTTGCATGTCAACATTTCCAAAGCATGTTAAAACAATTGCTCCATGTTCAAGCAATTCGTAGGTTTAAATGGCTGGTTAGAGGAGCCCAAGAAATGCAGGGAGCATTATGATTCGATAGAGCTTCTGGATCGACTAGTTATTACTTTACTATCTTGCAGTATTGCACATTTATTTAAAGCTTATTTGATATTGAAAGAGTAACTTAAAGGAACTGTTAGAAATAATTTTTTTAAAACTAATGTTTTTGAAAATTGTGATACTATTGCCTTTCTTAGTTTAAAAGAGAACGGATTTCTGAGGTACACAAGGCCAGAGGGTTAGGTAGTATTTATAGCTTACTCTCCCATGCAAAGGTCAGAAATCCAGTGACTATAGGGGTGCTGTGAGATACGCGGCTGTGAAAGATTTATTTGCATATTGCTATTTTAAATTTTTCAATCTATCTTAAAAATTTGAGAGTTCATTTTCTGTTATGAAGAAAAATGCATTACTAAACAACTTGCAAAGCCCTATGGGGGGTGTGTGTGTGTGACCAACATTTATGGCTTTTTTTATAGTTTTGGACTTATGAGACATACCAACAAATATAAGAGATCCTTGATTTTTTTTACAGTCTCCTCTGTTTTCTATTAGTACCAATGTACATTATTTTTATTATTTGGCTGTGAATTTATACTGTTTTCTATGTAGATGATTGTTATTTTCCTTGAATATTTGATGCAAGAATCACTTCTGAGAACTGGCATTTAGATAAGTAATTCAGTTTGTTTCCATTTGCGCCTCTTGGGGAAAGGCTTTGGACTTAGTGCTCCAACTAATTTTCCATCCAATACTGCAAAGGAAATGACCAAACAGACTGAGAACTAAGAGAAATTATATAAAAAATCCAAATCTTCATGAGGAATTACTTATGGACTTGGCTAAAAGGTGGCAGATATTTTTGTCTTTGTAATGCTCTACTTAAGCTCAAAAACTCAATAGAGTTGAAGATTTTTCTTTGAATTCATTTGGGTTTTGAAAAAACTGTGTAAAATTGGTAATTTATCTGTGTATGTGTTTTTAGCTCACAAACATTTTGTTTTGGCCCGTAGTCTTTGGTTTCAGAAAGTAAGCAGGCTAACATGTGCATAGCACTGTTCTGTTTTTAATGGGGATGATGGGTTTAGGTGGAGATTTACCATCACTGACCACCATCTTGGGTTTGTCAGCATTTCATGAAAGGAGAATTAGAAGAAACAATATAACCTAGTGAGGTCTTTTTTTCTAAGTCCAGTTCTTACCTTCTATATGTGTTTTTCTGGTTGTCTTCATTCCTATTCTAATGACCTCAATATTTTTACTTTTGCAGCTGGTATTAGGTTGAGCTGCTGCAACAAGAGACCCCTAAATAAAGTTGCCTAAATAAGATGGAAATGCCTTTCTCTTTCATCTAACAATGCAGAAGCTTCTTTATTCTATTAACTTTTCATCCTTAAGGTGGGGTCTTCATCTGTATGCTGGAAGTTGTTTCATCAGCACCACATCCAAAGGAATGGGAAGAGAGTATATGGTAGGCAGTCAGTATCTTTTTTTTGAAACTGAGTCTCACTCTGTCGCCCAGGCTGGAGTGCAGTGGTGCAATCTCAGCTCACTGCAAGCTCTGCCTCCTGGGTTCAGGCCATTATCCTGCCTCAGCCTCCTGAATAGCTGGGACTACAGGCGCTCGCCACTATGCCTAGCTAATTTTTTTGTATTTTTAGTAGAGACAGGGTTTCACTGTGTTAGCCAGGATGGTCTTGATCTCCTGACCTCGTGATCCGCCCGCCTCGGCCTCCCAAAGTGCTGGGATTACTGGTGTGAGCCACTGCGCCTGGCCAGCAGTCAGTATCTTTTTAAGGGTGTAATGTGTAAGTTGGACACATGACTTTAGCTCCTATTGTATTGGCAAGAACACAGTCATATCCAGTTGCAAGGGAGGCTGTGAGGTACAGTTTCTAGTTGAAGAACATTGTTGAATTTTAGCCTTGCTAAAATTGAAGGTGGAATGGCGTAATGCTAAATGGGAGAAATGGAGAAAAAATACTGGAGCTTTTAGTCATCTCTGTCACCTAGAATAATAGAGAGGTCAAAGTTCAGCAGTGTGCACCCAAACCTCCATTTTCTCCATACCTGATACCATGTTGCAGAAACCGAAAGCTTGCAACCTGAGGGCTAACACTAATCCATTGCTTGAGATAATTCTATCCATGTCTAGCAGTACTTTAAAAGCTTTAGATCTGCTTGCAGGAGGGATCTAGAATGAGTATTGCTACTCTAAGCTCAGTATTTTAGAGTCAGCTAGATTTTTCTACTCCCTTGTTTTGGTTCTAGCATGCCTGGTGCCTGGTGCTTGAGACATGGGGTTCTTTCAGTGAATGCTCTACTGTGAAGATTATCTATATTATACCAGCTTAGCTGGCTTTTTGCAATGTAGTTATTAAACTTCAACTATTTTTAAGTTGTAATAGGCACTGCATCAGAGAGGGGTATATCAACAAGATGAATAAAACATAGTTCCTGCCTTTAAGGGATACATGCTCTGGCACACTTTTTCAAAGGTAAATGTTTTTCCAAAACTATGTTCTGAGGAAAATACCCCAGGACCTTATTGCTACCATCTATCCATTATCTACCAATATTCCCTCTTCCCATAGATTCCACCCAAGAAGAGCCCCTACCACTGACAGGAGTTCGGCTCAGACCTGAATTCCTGACATCAGTTTCCATTTTGTATTTGTTTTCTAAATCTGCAGTGGCTCTGAAATTGACCTCACAGATTCCTTGGCTCATTGACTCTAAGGCCTCAAATATCTACTAGACTAGGCTGCATGCATTCTGATGGAGGCAAGGATATCAAGGCTCACAGTGTGAGTTTTCTTTTCATGTTTGCTGTTCAGTTCCTGTAACCAATATTTGTTAAGGCTCTTCTATGGAATGTAGCATGTGGGGTGTGAAGCTGAGTAAGACGTGGTTCTTGCTCTTGAGCTGTTCATCTTGTAATGAAAGAATTACACTATTATGTGATTCGCCCACTGGTAGAGGTATGGGAGACAGAGTGTTATGGAAGTATAGGAGAAGGACTGGCTAATGTCTGAGGGGGTTGGAGAAGTTAGTGACATTTACATTTGACCTTAAAGAAGGAATGAGTTCACCAAATAAAAGTAATCAGGGGTAGGGGACAGAGTGAAGGTGGCCTTCCTGACAGAGGGGACATCTTGTGCAAAGGGTGACGCGTGAAATATCATGGGGTCTTGTCCTCAACACTGAAAAACCAAGAACCAAAACCAAAATCTCCATCAGCGCATTATAAATGATGTTTCCCTTGAAATAAAGACTCTGTTAAAACAACTCTATGTGACACCTAGATTATTTAGTTTGTAAGAATCTGAATCTGAACAGGACCATTGTGTCCCAATCAGGGCATGAAGACAGTTTGGTAAGGACTCTCTAGGGATGCTCATGTTCTAGGTTTTCTTAGCTCTAAAAAATACCCACATTTCACTTTGTGAGCTCTTTTGCCAGTCACTGCACTGCTTTGTCAACCAAAGTGCAAAGGTAGCCAAGGAGCTCAGGGCCATCATTAATTATTCAGGTATTTGTGGAAAGCCTATGTGCTAGGCAGTGGGGATATAATGGTGTGTAAAAAGGTATCCTGGTCTCTCTTCCCACAGAACTCACATTTAAAAGACAGCTATTAATTCACCAGTTGCACTAATGCAAGCTAATGCGGGTGGATTGAGAGGAGGTGTGGGTTCTAGGCAAAGGGCTCAGAAGCAATAAAACCCAGTGGTGGGAAGGGGTGTGATGTGTCCAAGAAGCTTGGAGAGAGTGAAGGGGAAAGGCATGCAAAATCAGGGTTTTGAGAAGAGAAGTGTTGGGCCCACACTACACACTAGACCTTTTTAAGGATTTGGGTTTTTCAGTGGGAAGCCACTAAAGATTTTGAATTGGAGCTGACTGATTTTTGTTTAGAGGAAATATTAGGTGCTAAACAGGCATTTATGGATGCTTATTATTAATCATGTTATCAAATCAAATAGAAAAACTCCTGGGAGGCAAAAACGTAAATTGTTACCTAAAAGCAGTGACAAAATAGAAAATAAAGTTTTACTAATTTTACGTTAAACAGTTTTGTTTACTCTTTATAGCAAATCTGGCATCATGGAACTGAAGGAGTCCCACCTTTTAGGGAGGTGGTTTGCGCAAGAGTGAGTAGTAAGTTGGTGGCTGATTCATTTCTGCCCTGCTCCATGAGTGACACTGTTCCTTTCCTTCCCCCTTTCCTGCCTCCCACTCCTGCTGAAGCTTTGCAGATAAGGAATCAAATTACTCTCTGGCTCTCATCAGAGCTTCTCAAAATGTGAGAGCTTTGATTGCAACCATCTCCTTGGTTCAATTTCTGTCTTCAGGATCTTCAGTGTTGCTGCCACGCCATCCCTGTCTGTCCCTAGGGAGATGCCATCATGTCTCGTTGATCTTCACATTCCAGTGTCTCCAGTAGCGCAGACCAGTCAACAATTCAAAGCTGTAATTGGTAGATTAGCACTAATAATATCAGCTAAACAATATATAGGCAATGGGAAGGTGACCAGCTGAACTAGTCTCCTAGATTCATTTTGGAGAATAGTGGAAAGTAAAGTTGTATAGCATTCATGAAAATTGTGGCTTTATGGAATGTTTTTTTTTCTAAGAGATTGGCTCTTTTTTTTTTTTTTTTTTTTGTAAACTGAAATTTTAGAAAGTGAGAGCTTTCTGAGTAATATGTCAATCACAGAGAGGGATCTGTCTTTTTCTGGCAAGTTGAATAGGCCATGGGAATTTTTTCTACCTTACCTACACTTGCTGTCTTATGAGTTATGAAGTATTATTTTTCCTGAAGTCATCAAGAATGGCAGGGAGGAGGGGAGCTAGTCCATATATTCACTCTTCCTCTGCGCGTCTCTAGGGTTTTCTGTCTCTGCCTCTTTATCCCTGTCTCTGCTTGTTTCTGCTATTCTTCCTCTTCTCTTGCCTCTTTGGCATGAACCAGCAGTAGCATTTGTTACAGGATTTTCATGAGTACGGTCTTCTGGGCAGTGGTTTGTGACAGGGTGGGGCATCCAGGAGTGGCTGGTGGGGATGATGGAGCAAGAGGCCAGGCAATTGAGGAGGCCAGTGGGAGAGCACTGGGTACACCCAGGTACAGAGGAAAGATGCAGCGTTCAGTGGGGTGGCTGAGGGTGGGGGTGCTGTCAGGAGGTGGAGGAGGTCTGGGCAAGCATGACAGCCTTGGCACGAGGAGCAGTCAGCCTGGCCAGATAGAGCAGGTAGGCAGCTGGCAGGAGCTGGCATGAATGTAGGAGGGCAGCAGGAGGCCGGAGGCTGGGCTCAGCTCTGGCGGCTGAGACCTGAGACTCAGGTGGGATTGAGAGGACCAGGCCGGCATCAGGGGCAAAAGTTAGCAATCCTACCCCAGAGGCAAGGGCACCAGAGCTTCAGGCCAGAACCCAGGCAGAGAGTGATGAGAACGACCATAGTAACCCAGTGCTTGCTTGTGGAGGACTGTTGGTGCCAGGTACCCATCCGAACATTTTATTAGACCAAGGCTTTTAATCTGCACAATCTTCTTGATAGAATCCTCATTTTGTAAGTGAGGAAATGGAGGCACAGGAAGGTAGCGTAGCTTGCCGAGTGTTACCCTGCTGGGAAGTGGCACAGCTGGGATATGCGGGCAGTCTGGCTCCAGGGTCCCTGCTCATAACCACCTTGCTTCATGGTATTCCTGTTACATATCACAGGGAGGACCACTCACACGGGGTGCATGGGGCCTTTGGAGCTGGGCAATGTGGGCTGCCCTGATTCCATACTACTTCTCTTAAAAAATTTAAAAGGCGGATTCTTCCACACTGCCTCCTGTGTATCTTTCATATCTTAACTCGTTAATTTCAAAACTATTATCTCCGTGGTATTCGTGGGGCCTGGAGAAACTCTGGACATGCCTCCCTAGGTGGTAAGGTCTGAGTTCAGCCTCAGAGAACTACAGCAGAGGACTAATAAAAGTGGAATCTATTGTCTGTAGTTTTTTGTTTGTTTGTTTGTTTTGTTTTCATTCCTTTGTCTGCCCTGTTGCTACCACCTGTCTGATGGGCTCCAGGGAGGAAACAGGGGTATGATACTCATTCTTGCAGTTGGCCACACAGATTTCTAGAGGCAAATGAGTGGAGTAATATCACCTGCAGAAGACGAGAAAATTCATCTAGCACACAGTAGTCACTTAGTAAAATTTAAACAAAAACAAAGAACAAAATAATTCCCAAGACTGAATTGGCAAACAGAGACCTTGGACTTGTGTTCTAGCCCATGGAGACAAGAAGAGAACTAGCCTTGGCTGAGTCCCAACATTATTCCTTTGTCTCTTCTCTGAGCTCTTGCAGTTCTGCTATAGAACACATAACTACACTGGCTTTGAACAGTTAAATTCCCAAGAAATTTAGGTGGAAAATTAGAATCAGAATTGCCTTTTGCTTCTAAATTTGCACCAGTTTGTCTTGATCATGGCTATCTAAATCTCATAGCTAATCTTCTCACTTTTGGCTTTTCTCTCCTTCTCTCTGTCCAAACAAGTGGAAAACAGAAATACCTATCCTTTGTACTCTACTGTCATTTTCATGGGTTCCCTCTATGACAAAGCCCAGCACTGGGTAAGGAAGAGGGACTTAATATCCCTAAGTGTGAAGCCCATGAAAACGAACTGAAAGTAATGTTTCCTTGTGATACAAAACAGAGCTGTCCTAATTTGTTGAGGGCCATGCCATTTCCTCCACTGAATTAAGCTCAGTTGAGGCATTTGTCAAATTGCAAGGATACCTTCCCCATCATGAATCACGTGACATTTATAAACAGAGTCATAGAGACGATGCTTTTTCATAGGGTTTTTTTTTTGAGTTCGAACTGTTGATCATAATGAGAGATAACTGGAAAAGAGTTGAGTCAGAAGTACATTCAGCAGGGCATCCTCAGAATCAGAGGCAGCCCCCTTGAGGCTATGCAGTTTTGGAGGCTACTCAGTAATGAGAGGTAGGTGGGTTCCTGGGAAGCACCAGCACAAGATAAGCCCCAAGGTTTTCAAACTTGTTCTCGCTGTAACTGCAGGTGGGAGAAGTAGGCCAGAAACGGGGTGGTTTCTCTTTCATCTTCTTGACCATCATTCAACTGGAGAACTGTTAAAGTCAAAACCGAGAAGGTACCAGTGTCTTGGTTGCTTTTCACCACCTGCTGCAGTGAAGTGTGAAATTTGACCCTAGGAACTTGAACCTGCTGGAATCCATAGACCCTTTTACTAAAAGCCAGGGACTGGAGGTGATCTGAAACAGGCCTGGGAAGCTCCCAGGGACCTCTCACTATTTCTCAGCCTGGTCTCAGTTTAGAGAATCTTGGGACAGAGATAGTCAGTTCTAAGATCTTTCTAGAGTTCTGAGCTCACTTTTCTGGAACTCCTTAGAGTTCCTCTGGGGAGGTTCAGAGCTGAGTGTCTCACTGGGGTTCCTCTGGAACTCTGGGATCAGCCCGAATATTGGGTTGAAACCCTTAGGTGACTCATAGGTGTGGTGCTGATTCTGTGTAGATACAGACCCTAGGGGAAGACTCCCCCACCTGTGATCTGATTTTTAGTTATCAGCTGTGGGTGAACAAAATGACTTCTGATGGGATAATTTGTTTGAATGGAAGGCGTGGGAAAAATAGGAATTTCCCCAACACAGTGACTTCTCTCTATTTCACCAAATTCCTCTTGGGAACACGCCTACTGCCCCTCATCTTGAAAACTCTATCAAGGAGGAAGTAGGGGAAGGAACACTCCAGTATAGAACATATGGCTTTGAATAAAACAATTCAACCTTTGTAGGCACTAGAAGGACCAGATAAGGAGACTCTGTTGTTCTCCCACCTCTTACAGTTTATGATTCTGAGTCCAGCACGTTTCTGACTTCCTGGGAAGCAGGCAGAGCCACGCTGCCCCTGCTTCATATCTATTCTTAGTTAGAGGGGTTGGGTGCAGGAGGAACCACAGCCTGCTATGCGTGATCCAGTGCCTCCCTGCTGACATCCCGTCCTGGTCAGACTCGCTGACTGCATGCATTAGGGTACCGTAAAGTGCGCCCCTTCACTTTAAAACTTCCTTTAGGCCCTCACACTGGCTATAGGGAGTGCTCCACGGCAGCCATCCACAGAAGAGCTGAGCTATGTACAGTTTATCCAATTGGGAACAATTTCTCTCGTCTTGATGAATTGTGAAAGTGGGCTGCCTCTGTCTTCTCCCCTTAATTTAGATGTCCATTTAACATAATCGGAGAATACCTATACTTGGAATTGCAGTGGTAAAGTCGGGAAATGATCTAGAGAATTTCAGAGAAAAAAAGACCGTCTTGTTTCAGTTTTCCGTTGATTCTGGTTGAAATACCGTATGGCTGTAGTTAGAGAGTTAATAATTAAAATAAGAGTCTAACACGTGAATTTGAGCACAGCAGCCCTTTGATCCAGTCCTCTTGGTGTATAGGGGAGGGAACCGAGGTTCCACCTGGCCAGGGACTTGCTCCAACATGCATCCTTGTCGACAGGTAGGGCCAGCACTGGGTTTCTCTCTATGGAATCCTGTTGACTGCACTCATCCCCTGCTGCTGTCCTCCCTCCATGGGGGCACAGCCTCAGAGGTGACAATCTGTTCAAACCCTACCATTTTGGGATTCTGAAGGACAGCAGCATCTTCTTGCTGTCATTTATATCTGAAAGTGGACTAGGTATTGATGCCACTCCCAAGATGTGCAACTCTGATTGAAAGACATGAACGGGTCAGCACAGACCTGGGAGAACTATGCTCTGCTCAGCTGTTGTAGCCCTTGTGTTGTTTATTATTTTGACTCAGGTTTGTTCCTTTAAGAATTACGCTTTTCAGAGATACTGGCTGGAAGGACAGGCCTCCTTTCCTAGGTCCAGGGCCAGCCAGTTACTCCTGTGCTGAGCTCCCATGAACTGCAGCCAATGCCTTCCAGCTGACAAAGCAGCTTCTCAATGGTAAGTGTTTATGTTGCACTTTAGATTTGCAGAGTTCTTTCCCTAAGTTATTTCTTACCTCATTTTGGCGGCTGAAGAAACCAGAGCCCATCGAGGTGGTTACTGACTGGTCCAGAGTCATCTGACCCGTTAGTGGCAAAGCTGATACGGGGGACTCAGAGCCTCTGAGTTTCTGGGTCATTACTTACCCAGTCAGTCATGCAGCTGCTCTAAAATATGTTCTGTGCCCCTCACCAGCTCCTTTGTCCCCTGACTTTAGCTAGCTTCTTTTAGAGTGGGCCATAAAGCTCTCCTGTTTCAAAGCTGCAGCTTTTTTTTCTATCGGTTGACCAGAAAGTTCTGAGTACCTAGAGAAACTCCATCTCAGGCTGCTGCAATGTGGGACCTGTCCTAGGTCAACTTGAGTTGCGGTGTGGCCACAGCAGGTGGAGGGAGTCTGATGTTTCTATTTAGGTTTTGGGGGAAAGACCAATGCCATTTCAGGATTATTAAAGATTTATGCATGGGAAGGGGATGAAGAATTTACATGAAAACATTGGCTGTTGCTTAAAGTTGATTAAAAACATTCAACTACAGAGCATTAAACATTTTGCGTCTAAAAGTTGAGAGGTTTTTGGCTTCCTTTTCGAACTTCACCAGTTGGGACACAGAGCTCTTTTCTTGCCAGTGAGGCAGAGACTTCATCGAGAATATTGAAAACTTTTACTATAGAAATTCCCACAAGAAATCTTACCATCTGTTTATTCTAGTCATTTTTTTCTTCACCTTGGGTTTAAAGATATTTTTTATGACTCATTGCCCTTTTGACTTAAACGCATCTGTTAAGTACAGATGTTGGATGAGATTAGTATCTGTTTACCTGTGTTTACATGATATTCTCTGAAAATAAAATCTTTCCTTTGCTCCCCTCTCCAATTGTGAATTTAATTAAGAAGATGAGCAGTTGTGTTTGGAGTATTCAATAGTCTGCCTTTCCAAACATTCCACGCAGCCTTTTGGATATTGATAAGTGTTTATTGTAGAACTAACAATACAGGCGAAACAGGAAGCAGCTCTTTGCTGGGTAGGATGCTCCGAGGCGCCCTCCACTCTCCGAGGGAACGCTCTTCAGCTGACTGAAGCAGGGAAGCCGAGCCAATCAGAGGCCGCTTTCCTAGCTCAGTCACCAGTCTGTGGTTGAGGAAGGGTTTTGCTTTTTGTGCTCTGTATTGGGAAGGCAGATAAAATGCCAGGTCTGGACTGCCTCTGGGGATAACCTCACCCTGTGGGATGTGAATGAATAGCATCTTGCCTGGTAAATCCACAGGAATTGATAAGGCAGGCGCAGTTCTCCCAAACAGGCCTTTTCTCTTTAAGCTCTAGCTGTGGTTTCTGCAGCAATTTTGTTTTTGCCTTGAAAGAGGTGCTCTGGATTATCAGACCTCCATGTATGACAATTTGTACCTGCATGGAATTGAAGACTCGGAGGCTGTAAGTATTTTCATAGATAGCTAATTCCCTCTCCCCTCCTCTTCCTCCTCCCACTATCCCCTTCACCACCCCCCCTTCTTATTTCTTAGGCAACGCAGGGAACATGGAGCAGAAAGCTAACATCATTCTGGGGCTTGCTGGCTGCTGTGTAAATGTTCTCTGTGTAGTTTGTAGGTAACTGAAATTATTTATTTTCAAGCAAAAAAGAAATTAGGGTGATGGCAAAGCATCTTAAGAGTGTAGGCTGTTTGAATTTATACATTACTGGGTCCACATTTGATCTCACCAGGGGTAACTGCTCCTTGTAGACTGGTTTAAACTATGCAGAAAGTGCCTATGTTTTCCAATAGCAGGGTTCATAGAAAAGCCTCATTCATTATATAATATACATTGTTTGTTGAGCTAGCATGAATGGAAGTTCCTAAGCTGTAGCTGTATTATTATGTGCTTTCTGGCCAAACAAGCAGTGCAGATCTACTGCTTCTTTGTTAAGGAAATCAGATGCAAGGGTTGTGGCCATACAGCACCCCAGTGCAGAGGCAGTGGGCAGTGTTCCTATACTCTACCTTGGAAGAGCGAAGTAGACTCCCATGTGTTTTGGGTTAGAGAACTGGACTCCTTCTCCCCCCTAGGTCAGGTTCATGCAATCTGTTAAAATCAGGATGAAATAATTTCCTGAAATCCCTAGAATCATACCACAGACTGCTAGCTTTTGAATATAGGGTACAGCTGATAATTGAGTCTTTCTTTTGACTCTTGCTGGTGGTAGTTCCTATGTTTTTCATCAATACACAGAAACCTCGCGAGGTAGAATGGTTGAGGGTGGTTAATGGGAAGTGCTGTGAGGAGTCTGAATTTTATGGGAGTGCAGTGCCATACATGTTGCTACATTTGAAACAGGAGTGTGTTATATAAGATTCTCTGGCTAAACCACCAAATAAACAGGTTATAACAAAAGAAAAAAAAAAAAAAAACCCTGTGGTGTACGTCAATGCAGACGTATATGTCTAATGATGTGCTATCCATGAAAGATAGGAATCCTCAGTTCTGTTAAGGCATTCCGTTTTTCCTTCCTGTCTGTGTGTTTGCTCTAACTCTAACTCTGTTTCTGCAAAGTCTCTCTGCGTGTTGCCCAGCGTGCTCATAAATGATCAGACTGTCAGTGTATTGCAAGGGACCGTAGTCTAAAACATTGGCGGCTGAAATCAAGAAGGTCCACACTTGCTGGTGGGGTGAGGGAATGGTAAAGGCAATTATAGGAGTTCAGTAAGCCGGCTTCCCGGGCTGGGTTCTTCAGAAGGCCTAATCACTTCTTCTACCCTTCTCTGCTCACTCAGTTATGAAACCTGTGATGCCTTGCGAATGATAAGTTTTATTTTCAGCCATTGATGTTAAACTTGAGCAGGCGGTGTGTTGCACCGAAGTGGACTGGAGTCATTTTAGAAATGCCTGTAGAAACTGGCTGCTGTGAAGAGTTGGCTAGGAACTAATATATCCAGCTCCTTGTTCTCCAGAACTGTATAAATTTCAGATGCACTGGTTCAGAGGGGGAGCCATTATAAGTATGAAAAAATTTTATTTTATTACTATTTTTTGCCTTTGGGTCCAGTCTCACAGGACAGCTGAGTTTTTCTGTAGGATGGGAAATGAAGAGTGCAGTGACTTGACTCGGTGGCGGTAGTTGATGGCGGGTAGTGCTAGGTACTGCAGTGCTGTACTCCTGGTGACTCAGTGGTGACCAGCAGGCTGAGATCCTCCGGGCTATGCACATCCGTGGAGGTGAGGAAGGTGGGAAACGTGAGGGGTTGGGCATCTGGCAAATCCTCAGTTGAGAGTATAGGAGGCTTTCAGGGGGGCGGAATTGAAACCGTGTCACATAAATCAGAGGGGAAGACAGAGATGTTCGGAGGGGTGAACTGACTCTGAATGCTCATTTGAGTTTATTTGTTTTTATAAGGAAGAATAATGTGATGTGTTACCCAAGATGGTGTGAACAGAGCTTCAAGCCAATGGAGAAGACTAGGCCTAAATAGCTGACCTGGTGAAGTGACACATAAAGCCACACCTGGAGTGCCACCTCCTCAGCAGTCTTTCTCAGTGCCAATGCATTTATGGCTGTAAGTGTGGGGGGTTGTCCAGATGGAAGCAGAGCTCTCGGAACAGGTCTGGTGGATAGGCGTGGAAAGGCTTTTCTCAGATGGCCAGCTGCAGTCCGAGAATATACAGGCACTAAAAGCTGAGTACGGCACTTCGGTTGGGGGTGGGGGTTGGGGAACCATCCGCATATGTCCTGCCACTCTGTGCTGTTGAAAATGTCTTTGTGGGGTGTGTGGGGGTTCACCTGTGATAAGCGATTATTTTCAATGTTTTCACACAGTAAGCTTGTAATAAGATCATCTTGCCTAGGGGCTATTTTATTCCGAATAAGAATAACACATTATTATACACTGTTAGCACCTCACATCTCCACAGTGGGAGAGAGATTTTGGTACTGTGATGCAAGGCTTTTCTTAAGTGTTTGGTCCAAAAGTAGATATTATGCTCCCAGTGCCCTAGATTTTAGTTTGTAACCTCCGTGTTTCACATACTTTCTATATGAAGAGAGAGGAAAAAGAAACATGCCGAAACACACTCGAGTCTGGCATTTTAGATTCTTGAGTCCTGTGGAGCCTTTTTGGGCAAGTCCATTAACTTCTGCTTTGGTGTCCAGGAGAATAGTTAAGAATCTGGATTACAAGGAAGTGCAAAAGATCATTCATTCGGTGCCTCACAGCAGGGCGCTGCTTCCGAATAGGAGATTTCACACAGAGAATCACCTTACTTCTTGTGTTACCTTGACATGGATGATGGAGTGTGTGCTTCCAGGTGAGCCCATACCTAGCCCAGGCTGGTTCCAATGGATCGTGCACATCGACTCTTCCTACATTGGCTGCTATATAAGAGCTGCCTCTTCTACCTTCACTGTCCCCCACCGTATCTTAATAAAAGTCCTGGCGGCCAAGAGTTTTTTCATGGACTGAGCCCCCCATGTACACTATACTATGTGTTTTCATCTGATTTGCAGTAGATTTCATTAGACCTGCTCTTTAATGTGTACACGTATTTCATAAATGGATTCATTGTGTATTTTCATGTTAGTGGAATTATTCTGGGAATAGATTTATTTTTCATTCATCAGGTTTATTACACAAACTGAGGGATGTTCTTACAGGGATCCATGGAAGCAGCAGAGAAAGTTACCAAAAACCTACCATCCAGAAATGGTCACTGTTAATATATTGCTACACACCCTTTCAGATGATCAATCCACATATATGTAAATAGGTCAGTCTCAACCTGCTATTGTGTGTTGCATCCTATTCTGTTAAATGCTGTTCTCACTTGAGAAAAATGTTGAGCATACTAGGACTAGAACTGGCCTGCACAGGAGACGCTTTGCAAAATTGAAAGCTCCTACATGGACCTTCTGGAATTGTGAGCAGCTTGAAATATAGATTCTTAGGGTATATTGTAAAGTGATGCCGGGGTTAGTTGCACATAGAATTAATAGTTCATTTCTCTGACACAATTGCTTCTATTTCCAAATGCTTAAATTCTAAAGCATTTAGAAGGAGAGACCTGATCTTTTCCTGTGAAAAAGATGATCAGATCATCATTCAGGGCAATTTCCAGAGAGGAAAATGTAGTCTTTAAGTGTTTTCAATGATAGAAAGGAATCATAATATATTGATTAATACTGTTAGAAATTTAATGTATGTAAAAGTTACAGCAAAGGTAAATTTTACAAACAATATGTATGTATAACAATATGTGAGTGTATATATAAAAGCACATGTTTAAATTTACATGTACCTACACATGATAAGGATAGCTTTGTGTTAGTTATTTAAACTATTTATTTTCTATAAGCTGTGAAACTATGTATGTTTGTCTCAATGTCTGTGCACCTCTGCATGCATACGTACTGTTCATCCTCATACTTTCATCTACATTCATATACAGATATATTCCATGCATCGCTAATTGATGGTTAATGCTAAGTGGGAGATTTCTACTGTGGAGCTTTTGGAGAAGGAAAATTAGCTGCTTTTGATATGAACAAAGATACCCAAGAGAGCTGAAAGACAACGCAGCCACAAGAAAATAAAGGATTGCTCCTTTCAAAGATATAGTAAAGTTATTTTAAATATGAAGATATGTCCTTGTGCTTGCTAGGGAGGTGGATAAACTTCAGACAGAAGGATTTATATGTCTAGGGGCATTCGGAAGACGCTTTAGGGATTTAAGGATTAGATTTCTTTTGGAAACAGGAAGGCCAGAGGTCTGTATGGTTTGGTGGATCAGAGCATCCGTTCTGGGGTCAAAAAGTCTTTCTGGTCTACTTATAGAGAATGAGGACTGATTTGTAAGAGAATCCAAGGACTGGATGTTGGCATCTCTGACCAGAGAAGAAAACCAAATGTTGCTCCTGGTTTGTGTAAGGCATTTGACTCAGAAAATCAACTTGTTTTACCCAGCTGAGCTGTGTTGGTGTTTGGCTAGGATGTGTTAAGTAAATGATGAACAGGGCTTTCTCTTCAATCAGCAGTGAAGGTTTTCTAAAACAGAGATTGAAATTATTTCTAGATATAACCGGCATGGAGCCAAAGAGAGAAATTCCCTGAATCGATCAGATCCCATGCATTTGCTGTTCCAGCTTGTCAATCTTGCTGCTTTCTTGTTAATTTTTCTGTTTCTGAGTCACAGAGGCAAGAATTTGGATCAATCCTCGCCAGGTACTTCCGTGTCTCCTTTTCTGCTGCTGTTGTTATTATTATTATTATTAGATTATGATGAGTCAATCCAGGATTTTAGAATAAGGTCCTGCGACTCCCTTTGTATATACTCAATGAACATTCCATTATTCTGTGGTGCAAGACATTCTGTATGAGGGTCAGCAATAACTGTGAAAAGCCATTCTTTTAGGGTGAAGGTGGCGAGGCTTCCCATTGCCTTAACTCTTTTCTTTCTATGGGGTTCAGCTTGGACCTTATTTCTACGTGGACAGTTCTCCCATTCTGGTCACTATCTCCCCTTTACTGTCTCTTACCCAGATGAACAAGGCCACCTAAGGAGGACAAGAGGATATAACTGGACGGGTTATCATTTTTCATTCTCTTCTCTTCCCTCTCCCACTAGTCCTTTAAAATAATCATCAAGCCATGAACTCAGATATCCATGACGTTAAGTTAAAAATTGTACCAAGGAAGCGCTACAGATACAGGCTCTGTGTTCTCATCTACATCGGCTGATTTAGGGGCCTTTCATGTGGTTGCATCAGGCTCTGGTGGCTGTGAAAACAGCAACAGCTGTAACCTGCCACACTAGAAAAAATAAATTCACTGGGTGAATCCCTGAGTTCTCACAGGAGGCTGGGGCACTGCTGTGTAAAGCTAGTGCCCTGTCCTCAGAACAACTTAGTGTGTAAAACCTAAGGGAGCTTACAGTTCCTATAAAATAATGACAACTTTGAGCTTTTTAAGACTTTGAAGGGTGTGAGTCTAAGATAAAACCGTGTGGCTATTTTTACAGTACGTATTGGTATGCCAAAAGAAGGTAGCCCAGATAGCTCACACGACAATTTTTGAGATCTAAATAGACCAATACTTGCTCTTGCTCTACATTTTATATTTTATAACATAACGGTATAGTTTTAGTTATAAATATTTTCCTCTCTTTGTAAATGGTGCCACATTGTTAGTACTTCCTGTGTCCTTTGTTTTCTTTTGTGTCTGGCATCAGAAATATTGAAAAATCTTATATTTAAAACAGGATGTTCTGAATTTGCTTTTACCCTTTTCATTCAGAGGAGTTGATCCAAGGGATCCACTCAGATACGGAGATTGGCGACTGTCAATTACTCAGGAGCTTGTCTGTGTAGTTTGTAAAAAAACCCCAGTTATCTTATTTTGCCTTTCTTATGCCTGTTATTCCTTAATCTCTCTTTTCTTTTTAGCCTGAGCATCATATAGGAAAAAGATTCTGACCTTCAGTGTTATTACTCTATTGGCAGCTTTGTTGAAAAGTTTGGTGAGTGATAAGGTTGTAGTTGAAATTGTTTCTAGATCTTTTTAAATCTCCATAAAACTTAAAAAATTTTGTCTTCTATTGGGCATATCTATCAGCCAGGAAAATTTCAGGTTTACTTTTTGTACTTTGTGTTATGAAAAAATGGTGTAGTATAATAGTGTCATAATAAAAAGTGGAGACAGACCAGGCGCAGTGGCTCACACCTGTAATCTCAGCACTTTAGGAGGCACAGGTGGGCAGGTTGCTTGGGCTCAGGAGTTTGAGACCTGTCTGGGCAACATGGCAAAACCCCATCTTTACAAAAAAATAAAACTAAAAAAATTAGCGGGGCATGGTGGCGTGTGCTTGTAGTCCAAGCTACTCAGAAAGCTGATGCGGGAGGATCGCTTGAGCCCAGGAGGTTGAGGCTTCAGTGAGGTGTGATCTTGCCACTGCACTTCAGGCTTGGTGACAGAATGAGACCCTGTCTCAAAAAAAAAAAAAAAAAAAAAAAAAAAAAAAAAAAAAAAAAAAAAAAAGGTGGAGACAGTGCCGTATTCCCAGAGATTGAATCCTGACTTTCCTTTTCCTACTTTGTGGCCGTGGGTATATTTCTTCAACTTTCTGTGCCGTTGTTTCCTCCTCATGCCTGTCAATAATAATTGAACTTACTTTTTGGGTGGTTTTGAAGATTAAGTTAGTTAATGTGTATAAAGCCCTTAAAATCAGATAAATATTATCTGCCATTATTGTTATACATATAATGAAAATACTTACAGTTTCAGTAACTAAATATGCTCCTTCCTCTATAGGTTCTGTTAGTCCAGCCAAATTTTTTGGTTTATTTTCAGAGCCCTTGCATGGTTTTTGACAGTGATTTCCAAAAATCTTATAGTGGTTGACAGGTAAAAGAATTCAGTAATCCCCAAAGACCTTATGATTAGTTCGTTGTATTTTGTTTTAGAAAAGCAGGTGGTAAAGTGTAATTGAAAGAACACTGCAAGGCCAGGCACAATGGCTCAGGCCTGTAATCCCAGCACTTTGGGAGGCCGAAGTGGGTGGATCACGA